GGCTCACTTGTCTAATCTTCCCGACAATTCGGGTTTATGCAGGATGCTCCGAAGGGGGAAGGTCGTCACTACTGATATGGGGTGACATTGAAAATATGGTCTAAGCTTTCGTGAAGCTACGACCAGTGCCAGAGCTAGCTTCTCGAGGTGGGATACCTCGTTTCGGTGTCAACCAGGGTTTTGCTGACATAATAGATTGGAGATTGCGTACCTTTGTTTTCGCAGACCCAGTACTGCGCTTATCGCTACTTCCGAAACGGCCAGGTAGACTAGGAGGCGCTCGCCAGGTTCCGCTTTAGCGAGTAATGGGGGTGAGGACAAGTATGTCTTTAGCTCTCTCAAGGCCTCGAATGCATTCTGAATTCCACTGGAGCCCGTTGTCTTTTTTCAGCACATTAAAAAACTTGTGGCATCTATCGGATGACCGTGAGATGAATCTCGATAGGGCGGCTATCCGGCCAGTCAGCTTTTGTACCTGCTTTTTGCTGGTTAGTACTTCAGGTATTCTTTCAATGGACTTGATCTGGTCTGGGTTGACTTCGATGCCTCTTTGTGATACCAAGAAATGGAGAAATTTGCCCGAGGTTACGTCGAAGGCATATTTTTCGGGATTCAGTTTCATGTCGTACCGTCTTAGTATGTTGAAGGCCTCTATAAGGTGGTCGATGTGGTCTTCTTTCCTTTTTGATTTGACCAATATGTCATCGATGTAAACTTCCATTGTTTTGCTGAGTTGATTTTTGAACATCTTGGTGACCAGCCTTTGGTATGTTTCCCCCGCGTTTTTCAACCCGAACGGCATGACTTTGTAGCAGTACATTCCCTGATGAGTGATGAAAGTAGTTTTCTCTTGATCCTCCTCCTCCATGAGGATTTGGTTGTAACCCGAGTAGGCGTCCAAGAAGCTTAGCAACTCGTGTCCTGCTGTTGCGTCGATGAGCCGGTCGATATGCGGCAATGGAAAGGAGTCTTTTGGGGCATGCCTGTTTAGGTACGTAAAGTCGACCGCATTCGCCATTTCCCGTTTTTCTTTTTTACCATGACCACGTTGACGACCCATTAGGGGTATTTTGATTATCGGATGGAACCGTTGGTGAGGAGCTTATCCACTTCGTCACTTACGGCCTCGTTGATTACGGTATTAAATTTCCTTCTTATTTTTCATACTGGTGGATAGAGCGGGTCGACATTCAACTTGTGTGTAGCGATGTCTTTCAGGATGCCTGGCATATCTGAGTGGGAGAAGGCAAACAAATCAGCATTGTCAATTAGGAATTTATGAAATTTACCTAGTTCTGAGAGATTGTGTCCGATATAAGCCTTTTTTGTGCTGTCGCTGTTGTCTAGTCGGAGGACGGGATCGAGATCTTCTATTGTCGACTCAGCGGCTTCCACGATGTCGGGATCCTTGATAACGTCTGTCTGTGTGTCAGATTTGGTTCCCGACATCGCTAATTACTATGCCTCCGTGTTTGTTCCCTTTAGTTGTTGGGTGTGTGTGCAATCTTGGGCGATACGATAACATTCTTGAGCAGTGCGTTGTTCGCCTCGGATGCTGAATACTCCTCATGGAGTAGGGAACTTGATTACTTGATATAGGCTTGACGGGATGGCTCTCATGGCGTTTATCCATGGATGTCCTATGATGGCATTGTAGGCTGTATCTTGGTCCATGATATGGAACGTTGTTTCTAGGGTGACTCCTCCGGCCAAAACGGGTAGCGTTATTTCTCCAGAAGTTTGCTCAACTGCATTATTAAAACCCGTTAGTGTTATGCAATGCGATATTATCTTGTCCTTGAGTCACATCTTTACGAGGACTTGAGGATGGATAATACACGCGCCGCTTCCGTCATCTACCATTATTCTTTTCACATCAGTATCTAAAATACGTAAAGTAATAACAAGTGCATCGTAACGAGGGAAAGTCAAACCGTCGGTATCTGACTTATCGAAGATGATACTGTCTTCGAGATCATCATACCATTCCTGGGTGATCGACCGCTTGAGTTTGTGTGTAGTGGTGAATTTTACATGGTTGATCACCGCCTCGTCACCTCCGCTGACGATCATTTGGACAGTACGAGCAGGGAGGGTGGCTTTGGAGGCCCCTGGTGCTGTTCACGTCCGCGACCGAAGTTGGCTCGTCCCCGGTCGCTCATTAATTCTCTCAAGTGCCCTTGGTTCAGCATTCTTACTACCTCTTGCCGTAGACCTATGCAGTCCTCAGTTTTGTGACCCCGCTCCTGGTTGAATTCACAGAGAGCGTCCGACTTCTGAGTATTCGGGTCGGACTTCATCTTTTGCGGCCATTTCACCTTCGTGCCGAGCTTCTCTAGTGCATACACTATTTCTGAAGGGGAGAAAAAAAACTTGTGAGCAGATAAGAGCGGAGGCATAACTCTTTCGTTCCGCTGAGTCTCGGTGTGCGGCCTGGGAGGCCCTTTCGTGTGCCGAGGAGGTGGTAGGATGGCTATTCGGATATAGGGCTGATGTCTGTCTCGACCGAGATGGGGACCCAACTGATCCCTTCGACCGTCGTTTACGACGATCTTTCCTCGATTCTGTTTGAACTGACGTCAGCCGTTGGGTCGGACCATTGAAATCGTCTTCGTCGCCTCTTACATAGCTTTCTTGTTGCTCTCGACTCGTTCCTGCTCAATCCATTCTGGAAGGCTGCTACTACCATCCCCTCTGATACATTTGGTAGGCTCATTCTCACCCTGTTAAAACGAGCGAGGAAGTCCCTGAGTCCCTCTCCAGGCAATTACCTAACGGCGAATATGTCGTTCACCCTGGCTTCTGCCTTTTTAGCCCCTGCATGAGCGGTGACAAACTTGTCGGCCATTTCCTCGAACGTTGCTATTGACCGTGCTGGCAGTTGCGAGTACCGGGTTAGGGCTCCCCCCGTTAGGGTTTCGCCGAACTTTTTAGTAGCACCGATAGAACTTGCTCCTTCGAAAGATCGTTGCCCTTCACTACTGTGGCGTAGTGGACGATATGATCTTCTGGGTCTGTAGTGCCATCGTATATTTTCAGGTACGGTGACATTTTGAAGGTTTTAGGAATGGCATGGGGAGCTGCTTCCTCGCTGTACGGTTGTTCGGCGAATCGACCAACGTTTCATTTCGGTAGCAACTTTGGGGCGCCTGGTATCTTATCGACCCTTTCTTGATGCTCTTTCATCTGGTCACGGAGTGCCTTGTTTTCGTTTTTCATATCTTCCATTTTCTTTAGAATGGCTACGAGTGCGTCATTACCTGCACCAGCAGTGGTGTAAGTGTTACCTGTTTGGAGGACGGGTTGTTCGCCAGTTGTTGTTGTGACATCTACTTGTGCGGTGTTTCTGTTCTCCCTTTGGACGGGTTTGTCGAGTATGTTGTTTAGAGTACTTGTCAGCCACTCTTCCAGTAGCTTTTTCACTGCTGGTGGTGCTTCCTCCGTTATTGACGAGGAGGCTCCTCTTTCGCGTGAAGCTGTTACGCTTTCGCGAGGGGGAGGTGAGACGCTCCGCCTGGGCGTAGCATTTGGTGTCGCGTTCTCATTGTCTTCCTTGCTGTCTTCATTGATGGTGTTCAAGATGTTGGTGGTGACACCTACTATCCTTTTCAACCTCGCGTCTTCTTTTTCTGCCATTGTTAGTTTGTACAAACAAGGAAGAGATGTCTTTCCTTTTTTTTATGATCTAGAAAGAACTATAGTTTCAACTAAAAAGCTCCCCACAGACGGCGCCAAATTATTTTAGCAAATAATTACTAAACCAATCAAGGATAAATTAATAGGGTGAATCTCAGTTGAACTTAATAAATCCTAAATCAAACGAAACAGAGTTCTTGTATGACGAGTTAGGGCTAAGAACATTAAATAGCGAATTTAATATGCTATGATTGGCAAGACATATAATATCATAAATGTATAATAAATGCGAGAATGATAAGGGTTGTAGTGTAAAGGAATCGTCACCCAATGATTGTGCGATTGGGTGTTTCTTTTCTCTGACGACGTGAAAAGATAAGTAATTAATTTCAGTTATGGGATCTTGAGATTTGTGGATAAAGATTGAACAACATGTGCTTGAGTAAAGAGAATAAGACAACTCTTTCGTATATTCTCCTCTCAACTTTACAATATGTCTCAGTTCTCAAAAAGGGCAGAGACCCATTTGTTCCCCATCTCCTCCTATTTATAAGGGACATTCCCCCAAAAACCCTAAAAAGTACAACATAAAGAATATCCAAAGGAATATTATTCCTGTCTATTCCTAAGTTTAAGTTACCGTTACTATCATATATCAGTTGTCCGCATCTAGTCGTTCGCCTTCATTTGGATGGCCGTCGGTTTTTGTGTCGTGGCCAACCCCGTCCTATATTTTGCTTATCCGTTATCATGGCTACCAAATTTGGACCTATACACCTTCCTTTCTCATTTATTTTTTTCTTGCAATTGAGAAATACTAGTAACCAATCAGTGGGGGATCTACTTGGTCTCTTGTGGGTGATCAAGCACCCATTATCTTTGATCAGGTTTAGTAAATTTGCATAGGTAATTATAAACATATTGAAAAAAATATTGAGTGAGTACCCACTACTAAACTTCTTTTTTTTTTTTTTTTTCAGAATTTGTATCGTGGAGCACCCATGATTTTAAAATCCTAAATTAGCCACTGTAACCGATGTAAATCGTCTTTTAAATAAAGAACATGCAAAAACAAAAATCTCATCCTTATAACACTATGGTACATATTTAACCATCGAATCACAACTCATGTCTTGTCAATAAGGAGGTTTCAAATATAATGCTCCCAAAGTCGAGATATGACATTGATTACCAACTTTAGAAAGGTATTTTCCTATTAATGGAATGGTAAATTCCTGTAAAATGTTTACACATTGAATCTTTAAAAGTTTCTTCTATCTATTCTAAAAAAAATTGAAATAGAAATTCGGCCACTCTAAAAACCACTACCATACAAAAGAAAGTGCAAAAAGACAATATATAAGTCATCTCTAATCAATCAACTCAAATATGCTTTACACAATTAAATATTTCTAATCTCTTTAACCCCATTATTATCCAAAACAGCGATATTACTTCTCGACCCCTTAATTATCCCAATTTTCCTCAACAACCCCACACACCAATCCCCCAAATTTAAAACAACGTAAGTCCCAATTCCGCCGATCAAACCATACGCAATTGAATAAGTTAACGGCGTCAAAATCAACGTCACAAACGCCGGTATTGCTTGCCTCATGTCATCCCACTCCACTTCTACCACAGACTTCATCATCATCACTCCCACTACTATTAACGGCGGCCCAACGGCCCACGCCGGTATCGACGCTAATAACGGCGTGAAGAAAAAAGCCAGAAAAAAATATCCCGCCGCCGTTAACGCCGTCACCCCTGTCCTACCCCCTTCCTTTATACCCGTTGACGATTCGATAAACGTCGTTACCGGTGACGTCCCTAATAGTGATCCTATAACGATGGATGATGCGTCCGATAAGAAGGCAAAATATTGTCCCTCGAAATTCCCGTTTTCGTCGGCGAAACCGGCGAAGTGCGCCATTGAATACAGAGTTCCGGTAGTAGACAATATATCTACATATAAGAAAGTTATCAAAGCTTCCCAGAAATGACCTTTACCTATGCCTTTAAAACTCAAAGCCCCAGCTGTGCTCTCAATTTTGTGAACATCAACGACTTGTTTGAAATACTCGTACGCGGAATTACCCGCCGGAGTATTTGGAAAAGCGGTGACTTTTGTGTTTCTGAACCACGAAATCGCTGTGACAAAGATGATGCCATAAATCATCGCACCTTTAATGTTTTTAGACAAACAATAAGATATTATGACAAATCCAACTATACCGAGCCAAAGCGTTGGACTCTCCATGCGATCATGCAAACATAATATATCACCGGAAACGGAGCCCCCAGGGATGAGTGTCATGGTGCCGTTTACGGCGGCCATTACCGGAGCTACTCCTGCCCGAGATGACCGCGGGCAGCCTGCAAGTGTGACGAGTGTTGATGGGCTGTATCCAACGAGTCCAATACCCTGGTTGTTCTGTAGCCCAATGAAAGCGAGGAAAAGCCCAATACCGGCGCCGGAGGAGATTCGGACTGGTTTAGGAATCAGTTTAGCTAACTTTGCCCGTAAACCGATAGCTGAAATGAGTATAAATAAAATTCCTTCGATGAAAACTGCGGCTAATGCGCTTTGATAGGAAACATTTCCAGAACCATGAAACCCAACAACCGTGTACGCGAAGTAAGCATTAATGCCCATTCCAGGAGCTAACGCTAACGGCAAATTCGCAAATACTCCCATAATTAGACACCCCATGAGAGAAGAAGCCACAGTTGCTACAATCAAATCTTTCCGGGTTCTATCAAGGCAGGCGGAATAACCCGGGTTAACGGGTTCAAATTTACAGGAAGCATCAGGAGTTATGAGTCGGAGATTAGGATTACCAGTGCAGTTAATCGGCTGGACAGTGGGATCGGAACATAACGGAATACAGTCAGAAACAGAACAAGTACCGCCGGAATCAGAGAGAATAGAAGCGTTAACGGCTAAGATATACGCCATGGTAAGGAACGTGGTGGTACCAGCACGAAGCTCAGTGGTGAAGTTGGTGTTACGTTCCTTCAGCTTGAAACGCTTGCCCACTCGGCTTTCTGCCACGTAATCATTGAGACGGGTCAACGGAGATGGTCTGCCGCTCGACGGCGGCGGTGGAAGAGGTGGCTGTGGTGTCCCAGACTCCACGTCCATGGGGGTCTCAAAGTTTTTGCGAGTGTGAAAAGAAAGGTGGAGTTATGGGCTTCAACTTTTTTTGGATCAAAAGGCAGGCCACCCCTTTATATATGACGATGACACGTTTTTGTAATACTTCTATAATATTCTAATCATTCAATTAATGGGAATATTTTTCTGGATTATAATGTTTTGCAAGTTTATAGTATAAAGTTCTGTTAGGGGTTACAGCTTGTCTTTTTGCAGGGAAGAGGAGGAGAAGTCCGAGTTGGGAATAAAAGAGTTAGAGAGATTCGGCTGCAGATGGAAGAGGTGGGGTATCTTGTTTTAGTGTAAAAGAATCTCAAAGTTTTTTTTTTTTTGGAAGTCAAAACCTGGAAATTAGAAATATGCGTGGATTTACTCAATTGACCCCACGGATCCTGAAAACCACTAATGCTTCTTTGAGAAAAATAAAGGAAAAAAATTTACTACTAATAATTTACGAGTACTGAATTTGTGAATCAATTTCTTGTATAACTGAAAGAAATTGCATAGACGGATCTTACATTAACAAGTAGGTTTCTTTTTTTCATGACACGAAGATGAGGCATATATACCGCATACGTCTGTTCTCTTTCGAAGATCTGAGTATTAACCTCACTAGTACTATAATCTAAGATTATTTTCTGGATTACGTATCTTTGCGCGATTCAATCTCTCACATCCATTAAAGCTGATGATAGGCTATAATTGCATATTTTAGTCGCTTATTACACTCGAATTTACTGTACTTTAATTGAGTTTGCGCTTTAATCGCTAGTGTTTTGCACTAATTGTGTGTTTTATACCTTGTAGGTGTGATTCCGAGCTATATAGATGTTATGGAATGAATTTAAGTGATTTGAAGCTTTGAAGTCTGAGTAAAAGCTCAAGAAATTAAGCCGGGATCGTGTTCGGGGGTCAAATTTGATAATTAAGTACGAACGAAGACTTGAGGAGGCATATTGCGCACTGTCTAGTAAAATAGACATAACTTTTTGCTCAGAACTCCATTTGGGCTCCACAATATATGGTTGGAAAGCTAACTCAAAGGGCTACAACTTTCATGTTTTACGTTTTTCCAAATTCCAAAAGGAACAGGGTGAAAAACCGCGGTTCTACCGCGACCGCGGCAGAGTGTACTCGCGGACAACTGAAGAATCAGAGAGTATGTTTGGCCGCGGTTTGACCGTGACCGTGGTGGGACCGCGGCAGGAAGCGAAAATTCAGGGACTAAAGTGCAAAACATGGGATTTTAAGTCCTAAACCCTATATTAAACAAAGGAGGCCGGCCAAGAACAAAGGGGGGGGGACATATTTTGGACATAGATTCGACCTAAGGAGGCAAGAACACATTGGGAGCAAGGCGGAGAATTCTTCTACGAGTTTTTCCTTCCTCTTCCTATTTTTCATTGTTGGTTATGACTTTTAGTATTGTAGTTTTACATACTATTATGAATAGCTAATTTGTTATCTAGAGTTTTGATAGAACCTTTTGTAGGATAAATTCTTGTTATGTTTTTATATAATTGAGCTATAGCTTTTCTCTATTTGTTCAACTACGTTTACATTGTGGTTGGTTGAAGAGCTCTCAATTAGCTGTGCCTATTTAGTATGCATAACTCGGGAGAGAGTGCATATTTAGGTAATTGTTGAACAACACCACTCCCAGAGTATATGAGGGATCAATAACCGAGGGTTTAAAGGCGGGATTAGGGATAACGAAGCCTTGGGTGCGATCTGAAGTGAGCTGTGTTAAAAGCCAGCTAGCGTAGCTCGGGAGAGTGCGTCTAGTAAATTGTCGTAATTACTCGGGAGAGATTTACGGTAATAAGAGTGCTCATGATCGGTAGAGAATACTTAGGCGAAATTATAGAAGACATAGCGGGAAGGATTCCGACAATTGGGGAAATCATAACTCTAGACCTCCTTAATCTTTTCTATAACCCTCAGTATCGTTAGTTGTTAATTTACTATTTTAATTTATTAGTTAATTAGTTAAACAGAAGAATCTTAATATCTATAAGTTAGAAATTATTCAAGCTTATCTTCTTGGTGATAGTGAACAGCTGTAGCTAAACCTTAGTTCTCTGTGGGATTCGACTCCGGACTTGTAAACCGGATTATATTTGCAACGACTGCATTTTCCTTTTTATAAGGCATAGTTGGGCGTGATCAAATTTTGGCGCCGTTGCCGGGGAACTAATGGTGTAGTTGTAGCTGTATATATTGCTAGGGTTCAAGTTTGAACATTTATTTTGTTTTGTTTTTTCTTGGTATTTTTTTTATAACTGTTTATTTGAGAAACATGACATCTTGGAATTATGGGAATTCAGGTGTAGATAATTCTACTATTGATCTCCATACATATTGTAAAGGAAACCACCCGTGGCAAAATTTTCAAAACGTTCCTGAGAGCGAGTTTTGGATGCACCACCCAATCATGATGTTTTGGAATTGTGGTGCTATGTCGCTGGTGGTCAGATGGGATCTTTCACGGTTGTCTTATATTTTTTTACCTTCCCCCCAACCCTTACTTGATGGTCTTCATTTTCTGGTGAAGTTAATAGGAACAAGAACCTTAGGGCAACAACTAAGAGGCTCGAAGATATGTTAAAGTGCATTTTGGAACAACAGAGTAAATTACTACTGCGGATAGAAAGGCAGGAGAAACTATCACAACTTGAAAGTCACATGAGTCAACTGGTTGAAGCTTAATGCTCAACAAGCCAATATTGTGAATAGTATCGCAAGAAGAGCGTGAATTAGATACAAAAATTGATGAGCTAGGAGGAGGCCTAGAGTAGAACACCACAATCAATCACACTAGATTTTGAGGATGTCGTGTTGTAGAAGAGATACTAGAGTCAAACCAAGATATTGAGGAACATATTTAGTTGACTCTATTGTCATTAGTGTTGTGAATGTAGATAAGTCCAATGTCAATGTAGTGAGCGCATATGGTCCTCACTCCAAGCATATTTTCCACATTGTGTTTAGATGATGATATGGAAATAGAGTCGTCCGACCATTTGAGGAGTCGAGGAATGAGAACAAAGTGCTTACATTCCGGAATTCTTCTTGCCAGAAAAATCGGGATTACACACCTCATCTAAAGGCAAGAAGTGCAGAAATACTACATTATTTTATTGGGCCAGCCAGATTCTTGTTCCACCACCCCAGGAGCATGAATCATAGAGCAGAATCAAAACGTGTGGGTGGTACCGAATACTCACATAAGCGCGTTTCAAAAATGTGTGCGGCTACGTGAAAAGTGATTCACGTCGTTTGCCGCGACGTCAAATCAAGTCACTTGTTGGGAAGGCTAACCCAGTCTTTATTGTCTTTCTTTTTATTTTATTTTTTATTTTTAGTTTTTTATAATTGTATTATTTTTGTAAGTGTCTAAATTTTTTTATTTTCTAGGAGCATAGGAAAGCAAAGGTATTGGAAGGATGCATCAGCAAACCAAATGGTTGGAACTAAGTGTGAGGTACCCGCACGAAGGACCAAGCTGGGAGAAGTCTGAGTACCCCATGAACTGCTAGTGCTTCGGCCTTTGGCCTACCAGGGAGTTTCTTTTACCCTCTTGTATGTATGGGTGTGCATTGGGGACAATGCACAATTTTAAGTGTGGGGTGAGGAGATTGTCTGGGTGATTTTTCATGCTACTTTAGCTGTGTTTTTTTTTAAAGATTGGACTTTTCCTGATGACGGATCTTCTAGACAGTTTTCTTGAGGGAAGTAAGTCTAAAGAAAATACCAAAAAGATTTTTTGTTTTGTTAGGTAGTGTAGCAATTACCCCTTGGTTTTTCTTTAAACCACGGTTCTTTTCCAAGGGTTTATTTGAACCGGGTGTAGTTAGTTTTTTTTTTTTTTGGGAAATAGGAGCCATTGTGTTTTGTTTTGAAATGAAGCAATATCTCTTGACTTTGTTATGCATTGAGAATAGTGAGTACTTTGGCTGTGACGCTTAGGCTCAGTTTTTGACTCTTGTATAAGTACCTTAAATTGTATGATCTTAAATTTGCTTAACTACTCTGATTAGGATGTCTTGATGAATCTAATCCTGAGTGAGTTATGTGCCATGTGTGTGTAAGGTTTTGTGATATTCTGTGCAGTGCAATTGATGCCTAGAACTTGCCCCGTGTGTTTGCAAAGCGAAATAGTAGTGTTGTTCAGTCTTGGAAGTGATATAGGCGTTTTCTTGTTGAGCCAGATATGTATATTTTACCCGCCTAATTATTATATATCTATCGTAGTTAACCCCTTCGAGCCTGTAATCCTGTTTCTTTGGCAACCACATTACAAGCCTTACCCATTTGTTCGAATTAACCATCTATTTGAACCATTGTAACCTCTCATGAGCATGTGAATTATTATGAACTATGTAAAAGTTAAAGTGTGGGGTGGTTGGTTTGGCTTTTGAGTGGAACTAATGAAATAAGGAGAAAGGTGCACTGTTTTGAAAAAGTAAGAGCTACTTGAATTGGAAAAAAAAAATAGTTGGATTCTTGTGAAAAAAAAAAATTCCTTGATAAGTGGTGGCTCTTGATGTAACTGTGCTTAAAGAAGTATGGGGTAATATAAATTGATGTGAAGGTGGAGTTTGGTTTGACATAAGTATGGGGTTTGAATGTTAAAGTATATGTATTAAAGTGCTTAGGGAGGTGTAGTCACTCTTTTATCTAAATGTATCCTACCCGTCCCGTAGCCTACATTACAACCAAATAAAGTCCTAATTGATCCAAGATTGAATGAGCTCGATTAGTGGAGTAGTACACTATGGGCAAGCTTATGGTGCATCTTTTGTGGCATATGAATGTTATTTCTGAGAGTGAGTGAATTCTTTCTATCTTGAGTTCCTAAGTGTTCTTAAATTTTATTGTGTGGAACTACTCTCTTTTGTTGTGTGAGGGCACTTGATTCATGAAGGAAAGGTAATGTCAGTGACCTCTATATTAGAGTAAGTGGGTGAGTTGTGAATAACGTGTGGTACTTGTGAGTCAAATCTTGAGGTGAAGATATTACGCTTTTGTGCTTAGTCTATTTTAAATACTCTTGGTGTGATGAGTTAGGAGAATTGTTTAAAAAGGTCGTGTCTATAAAAAAAAGTGTAGTTTGATTGCTCGAGGACGAGCAATGGTTTAAGTGTGGGGTGTTTCAAACATTATCAATTATGTACGAGTTCTTTGCTTTTTACACTGTCCGATATACATAGAGGTGGGCATAGTTTGGACAAACCCGAAATACAATCGACATCTGAATATTTTAAATTT